TAACAAAATACGTATTTTTTCATTTACTTTTCACTCTTTTAAACTCTCATTACTGTCAAGTTGGAACCATCTCATAGTTGATCCTCTAGTGGGCTTTCAGATGCTGTAAATACAGAGGAGATTGCCTATCTTTCTCCCCTGGAGCAGCTGGTGGATTCACACTGTCTGCCTTTGAATTGATGGTGTAATTCCTTACCCACTAGGCCCCTAGAAATTTAAATGATCCTATAGAAATATTATTTATAAACAAAAGAACATTATCTAAGAAGTGATTTAGTATATAGAAACAAAGTCTTTACATAATTAATGTGTTTATGTTTCTTTTATCTTTGCTTGGATATATTTTCATTAATGTGTGTCACTGGGTTAAAACATATCTATCTGTTCAACATATCTATTTTTTTAATTTTAACATATACCTTTATACTCAGCATATTTCACATTTAAATTGTGTTTATTTTAGTTACAATCCTTTCACAGGAATTTATGCAACTCTAATTTGTTAGGAAAACTATGTGACTAAAGTCGATTTGAGAATCCATTTAGCAAATAAAAGCATTTCTGAAGCCAAGCAAAAGTGAACTCAGCTTTTTAACTAACTTCCACTGACAGATCTTTATGGAGCTCTCTAGCCGTTTGATACAGATTTCCATTTACTTTTGCAAATAGACATAAAGATTTGCATGACTTGAAGCAAGTATACTTCATGGAATGTTTAAAAACGTGCCACACTTGTTAAGGGGTCAGTGTTAATTTTGTGACATTTTCCATAAAAAACTCATGAGAGATGGGCAAGATTATAGCCTAAAAGAAAAGAACTTAGTAAAGTAGGTGGCAGACAATGACTCTTACCGCCACTTTTCAGAGGCAAGGGTTGTTTTTTCAGGAGATAAGAATAATATAATTTTTATGTTGCTTTGAATTTTAATCCAAATTTTAGGGAAATCTCTTGACAAAAGTAATGCATTTGCAATGGCAAGGTTAACTCTTCGAATCCCTTTCCATAAAAGCGCATGACCTGATCAAGCTCCTGTGTATTACTTTAACATTAGATTATTGTTGTTTTGGGCCAAGTCTGCTATTTCCTTATACACCTGTGCAGGACTAGAGTGAAAAGCACCACCAAAGCCGCTGCCGAGAACAAATCACTAACAGAAGGGTCATGTTTGGTTATTTTAGTTTTTTGTTTTTGTTTTTTTTTCCACATAAACAATAGTTACTGAGTGTGTGGAATTAGATTTCTCAACCTGACCCACCTGACAGTCTGTTTGTTACGATGAAAAAACTCTTTCCTTATTACCTGAATAGTCTTTACTCTTCAGCTGCCATTTTTTAAGAAAGCAATTAAATGAAGATAAACTTACTTATTTTTCATTTCAAAATAAAAGGTGCATAAAGACACTACTACACTACCATTCTAAATATGAACTTGGAGGAATGACAATAGTTATAGAAAGCCTTCAGACCTTTTGTTTATAAATATATATATTGAGAGAGACAGAGAGAGAGAGAGAGAGACAGAGAGAGAACACATCTTTGTATTTAAAAGTCAGTTGGGCCCAATTGTCTAGTGTAATTTTATTTTAGAAGAACATTCTCCTAAGTTGTACAACACTCCTCTGTCAATTTGCTGCACTGAGGTAATCTGGGTTTGCTGTGATGCTGAACCTTGTGCCATTGGGGTCATATGCTATAATGGCTGCCCATAGTGGACAGTGTTTGGTGTAGCTCCCAGTTTAAGACAGGTTTGGAAGCAGGAGTGGCATTCACTTCCTAAAAACATGCCTCTGGAAACTCTATGAACTAGGAGAAACAAAGATAGTTAAAGGCTTCAGACCTTTTGTTCACAGGGTCACTATGAGTCATACTCAACTTGACAGCAACCAACAACAACAATAATTCTAAATATCACATTAACTAAAATACTGAGATAAAACAGCATGGAATTTGGAAACATTTACCTCTTCTAGAATTCATACTGATTCTTTTATTTCCTAGGAGCTCTATATGGATGATTTGATCTCTTTCAGATTCAGAAACACATTTCTAAAGTTGTTATGTGCCATCAAATTGCCTGTCACTCATAGCGATCCTATGTACAACAGCCCTAAACCCTGCTCTATCCTGTGCCAATCTTATTGTCTCTGACACACCTATACCCATCAACCCAGTCACTGACTCAATCCATCTCATTGAGGGTCTTCCTAAAAGTAAATAATTTAATTCAATAAAGACATTGCTGTTAGTTGCTAACATTTTAATCTACATGTACACTCTTCAGAGTAGAATCACAGTTTAGAATTCAAAGTAGATTGTCAGCATTTTCTTCCAAGTTTTCTCTGGGTGACTTCAAATTACCATGTTTTAGTCTTGAGGTCAAGCATTTGACCAAATGGTGTATGTAAAACATTTAACACATTTATATATGAATATAGAAGGTTATTTATGACCACTATATTCCATGTGATTTCGTGCCTCTGAAAAGCCACTGGAGGGTCAACTATGGGTCAGTTCTGACTTGATGGCACACAACACACAATCTTTATTACAGGGAGCTCTGGTAGCCTAGAGGTAAGAAGTTACGTTGCCAATCCTAAAGCACATGATTTTAATCCACCAGCTGCTCTGTGGAAGGAAGCTGGACAATCTTTTCCCATTCTATGTACTGCTTCTGAAAATCCACTAGAAAGTCAGCTATGAAACAGTTCCCACTCATCAGCACAAACAATAACACATTATTTATTTCATAATTACACCTCTCAGCAACCACTCACTTATTTTCTGAGCACCATTGTGTTGAAACCAATGTCATAACTGACCTTCCATGTAATTTATGAGTACTGAATATCATACGGACTGCCAAAAGAACTAACAGATACGTTTGGAAAAGTTGCAGCATGAGTGATCTTTGGAGGCAAGGATGGTAAAGCTTAATATCCCATACTTTGAACAGTTCCTAGGAGAGGCTACTCCTCTGAAAAAGACATAATGCTTGGAAAGGTAGAATGTCAGCAAAAGAGAGGAAGAATCCCATAAAGATGGATTGACAATGTTACTTCAGCAATAAAATCAAGTGCATCAAAAATAGAGGGTAGTGCTGGATAGGACAGGATTCAGATCTGTTGTTTAGAGGGTCTCTGAGTTGTACTCGACTCAGAGGCAACTAATAAAAGCAATACTAGCAAATCTCACAAAAGATGGCCCATTTTTCTCTCTTTGGTGGACTTTGGATTAAAATTACCAGAAAGGTGTGTTCTTTGGCTTAATAGAAAAACACGTACTAATAAGGTAATCAGAGAGAGAGCACCATTGTAGTAACCAGGATTATGAAAAAATTATGAAATGGCTTTAGGTATTCATGTTTAAGATTATCTTACTACATATGCAATGTTTAAATATATATGCACATATTATATATTAATTCATACATCACATATATGTCTGTAGCAAAATTTGTGAAAATAGTATTTGTGTAAAGCTGAAAACTATCAAAAAAGAACTCTCTAAATAAGCACTATTTAGCTGCTGCTTGTGTTTGAAGTGATGCTGTTTTTGGTTGTGGCCCAGAGCCTTGAAGTG